TTGCGTATGTCAGGACAAGAAAAAAAGTAAGGAAAAAGAGTGTTCCATCGGGAGCGACTCCAAAGGTTCCTTAAAAGAAACGTGAAAGAAAGCAAATACCGTTGGGAAAAGGATTAGACAAGAAGACGTTCCGCGTAACTTCAGTTCATTAATAGGCTCCTAAGGGAGAAACCACCGAACGGCATGAGTAGATCTCAGTCAGATTACCGTGTAAGCACAAAATGATGTGCTTATCTACAAGAGAGAAACTGCTAGTATTGAGAGTAAGGGGAAATATGAGTTTTCCTGGGGCAACTTGAGACATAGGCAAAAAAACTTCTTGAAATAAAAGGAGGAGGAGTGACAGACGACTCAGGGTAGATAGAAGTTAGGGGTTAGACTTTGGGATGTTGATCCCAAAACTCACAAACCAGAACTAAGGGCTTGACCCTTAGATATCATTATGTGGGAGTCAAGTGGGGATGTTGAATCATTGTTGACCTGTGTGTGTGCAGGTTTTTGCTTTGGTCTACTACAATTGAAGGAGGAGTCCTACATAAAGGACTCAAATTTTCTGTTATCACTCGATAACAGGTCGGTTGTTACCGATTCAACTTTCCCCCTTTGACTTGATACCCATGTCTAAAGTCAAACCCTATGGTCAGTAAAACTGCCACCTGTGGTCATTGCCTAAATGGTCCTGGTCACTCTCACGGGTCCTTTGAAGAAATGTGAGGGGGCTGGGCTTACGTCTCAGGAAAGACAAGGCTGTCATACATGGTTTGGGAAGTGAGGGACAAGGTCAATGGTTGATGGTTGACGCCGTTAGTGCATGGCATGTGAACTGTCTTTGCATTATTCTGTGCAGGTCTGTTTTGTGCGTGATTTGGATTGAACTGGACCTGGTCTGTTGAAGAGTCTCGGACACACAACACTCGTGAAAGTGGGAAGGGTTCTCCGCGGTAATACTTCCATATTCATCATATGTCCAACTTAACTATTCCGATGTTCAGTTAAGTCCTAACCTGTTAAGAAAGCTAGGACGCTCTTTGGTAGAAAGAAGATTTGATTGATATTGGTCGAAAGAATAATACATTACGCAGTAGCGGAAATAGACTGCCTTATTAAAAGTTCGACCTGAATATCTAACGGGTCAGTTCTAGGCGTCTTACCGCTCGTACCCCGTTTTATGCTACAGCGATCGAGCAAACGCCCTCGACCGACCTACCTCTACAAAGGCATGAAAAAGCCTTTGCATGTGGGCCGGTAGCTCAGCAGAGATACGCCTACCAAAGGGTGGTGACAGCCCCTTGGGTAGAGGTAAGTTGTACCTCACGGCTCCCCAACCTGTCGTGGGGTGTCGTGAGAGGTGTAGCACGCGCGCACGGTCGGAGTGGTGACTTGTCGTTCTTCAAGAATACATCCTGCGTGACACGACCGTGAGGTTCAGCGCTCCCAGCGGGGTGCGGGACGGACGCGCGCGACAGCGGGCTGTTCACAGCGGACCGAACGAGAGAGAGAGAGAGAGAGAGAGAGAGAGAGAGAGAGAGAGAGAGAGAGAGAGAGAGAGAGAGAGAGAGAGAGAGAGAG